CTGCTGCAGCTCTGGGGCAAACGCAGTGTGTCTTACGCAGTTCTCTTAGCAGTTCTGCTGTTGACCTGGGCAGAGAAGCCAGACATCAACTTGGCTGCAAGGTCTGATTGAACTCACTGGGAATTGTGGGTGGTTTTGTTCAGGAAACCATATGCATACTCACCAACACCCACACACGTTATTCTGGTGAGTGTTGTTTGGTTTGAAGGATGTGGTCAGCACGGTTGCTGCCAGTAAGGTGGAATTGCAACCTTGTGCACAATAGCAACCCATGATTCGTTGTTTGTGTCATCTGAACGGTGCATTTGGAATCGATCGCCATTAGCAAAAGATTGAAAGTGCCTGCCACAGCAAGGCTTTGAGCACGGTGATGTTGGCATCTCATCTTCTGCAGTAGATTTGTGCTGTTGATAAGCTATAGCTTGGTCGGTGTTCAGTGTGCTATCGCAACCCTGAGGCAGCAAGTGAGAACGAGAGGGCTATACGCAAGCTGGCAGTCAGTACCAGTGCAATGAAAGGCTGCACATTGTGCAACACAGCCAGATATGCAATATAGCAGTCAGCTGTATACAATCGATTCATGGCTGTGCCAGTTTACAGCTCACACTACAGCATCGATGATAAACTAATGTGGGACCATTGACCTTGTTTGCCTTGGCATAGTAGATCTCAGTCCAGTTTTTACTGTCTTCCCTTTTGCAAGTTTCTGGTGTCAGGGGCTGTCCTGTTACGTGGTAGCTGCATGGATTAGATTTTATGATTCAAGATGATATGTTGGGGCCAAGAAATGTAGATAGCCTTACTTTTGTTGAGAGATCCAGCTAAAATGCTGGGCGCAGTAAAGTAATGTGTCGATGTCTGCCAAGTGAACATTGGGAGGACTATCATTGTAACGCTGGGGTTACATGTTTGTGTTGATTGGCTTGTTGAGAGTATTGGCTGGCTGGTGCTGCTTGCAGGTAGCTCTGTTTCTGGTGATTTATGTCCAGCTGGATAGAGTCCGAAGAGCATCCGAGAGATACTAGATAGAATATGGACTGATTATTCAGAGCGCGTGACGGCAGCCATAGTGAAGGAGCTGGCAGGCTCGGTCTTCACAGCGGCACAAGATTGGCAACTGTTGTTGTTGTGGCAACAGCAAGATCACCTTTCTGGCTATTGTTTTCCTTCAGGCTTCGTACCTGTTGCTGCTGGGTTGTTGTTGTCATGCACCTACTGGCGTTGCACTGGATGCTTGCAAGTGGCCAGCTCACTGCGGGTTAGCTCATTTGCATTGGATGTACTGATTCAAACAGGCAAATAGACACACGGATGTGGGCCAGGTCTGGCTGTTCGGAGATGTAGCGCTCAAACGCGCTGGACACGTTCACATTCCCGTGTCAAAATCCAAACGCACGGGAGACGCCCACGTTTCCGTTTCGGAGACCTAGACGTAGTACACACGTCTGAGTTTCCATCCCGACTGTGTACGCCCACCCCTGCCACCGTCGCACGCCCAGAACCCATTCTCGCCTACTAACCTACACCCCTGAGAACAAACGTCATCATCAGCAGCAGCATTATCATCATTTTTCAGAAAAAGGCAATGAGGTAGCCGTCAGCTTCCTATTTTGCCCGAGCAAAGCAGTGTTTATTATCAGTTCATTAAAAACCTAATGATAAACACAAAGAATGTCTATGCATCTATTAACTCTTAATGGCAAGAAGCGATTGTCGATGACAATACATTAAAAGATGTGCCCTCGCCAGTTGTCGAACAGGAACCGAGACAAAAAGCGTTTTTGCATTGCGACGTCAAAAAAGACTTGAGTGGCTTCTGAGGACAAACATTCAGCTTCGTCCGTGCACATTTTCAACGATCGTTACAACTTGCCGATGATCACCACGGATCCCGTCTTCTCGGTGTCTATCATCGACTCGCATTGGCTCGAAAGTGTGCCCAGAGAATGTGAAGACAGTGGAGATAGCGAGCAGTGATTGAATTTGTGAGCTACTTAGCATTGACTACTGAACCCTATTCTCGGCCCCAATGTGCCCTGTCCCCCACCCCATACACACACCGCTTCAATTTGCGCCTGAAGCAAACAAACCCATTTTTACTGGAAATCGCACCGCAGCAACGACGGTAGCTTAACGTTGCACATCGTGGGTCAACGGAGTGCGTGCCATACTGCAATGATTGGCCACTTCAGCACATGCAAGCCCTGTTTGCTAACCAGGCTTTAGCAAGCAAAGTGGTGGTCTTCTGAGCAAGCTGCGCAATGCGTGGTTACATCTGAGAAACGCTAGATCCAAAGAAACAAAGCACAGATATCCTGCATGAAATGGTGGGATGGCATCGCAGTTTGAGGTGTGTTTAAATCAAATGCTGTTTACATGTACAACAATGCCTGTTCGTCCCAATGGCCTTCCACCCAAGGCAGGGCCCCCGTGCTCTTCCACCCTTTGCCCTGGGCAACCCTGGGGCTTCCAGCCAGCAGCGTTATTCTCAGTTTCAATAAGTCTTGCACTTGATCGAGAAGAAGTGACACAGTGGAGGCCAACACCATGACCTAGGGCTTAACCACCATCATCACCACCACTCCTGCGCTTCATCTCAGCACCTGGCCCAGCCTGCTTGGCCTCAACACTCGCCGTTGGCAACACATCCCCTGAATACTGACAAAGGTGCACTGTGCATCACTCACGCAGGACAATTCACAACCCCTCCACACATCCCAAAAAATTCAATCAATACTAAAAGACAGCAATCTTCCCTGCCGCTGTGCCAAGTAGCCCTCCTCTGTCTTCCTCCTCCTCCTCCTTGTTGCACTGCGCGCAGCACGCTCCTTTCACCCTGCCACTGCCGCACCATTCCTGCCCGAAGGCGCAGCAGCTCCCACGCACCTGCTCCGCATAAGGTGCTGTTTCCTGCAGGGCCTCAAAAGAGTTCAAGGCAGTAGTGAATCGCCAGGTCAGGGTCAAGCGTGGCGATGCACTGGCTGTACTCCTTGGTGAAATCTTGCAGTGTGAACCCCACGGCATCTGGAGACATGGTCGAGACGAAGACGGACTCCGAGTGCCCATGCTCCTTTAGCTCGTCCAGAATGCCGGCTATGATGTCCTTGTCTTTCACGGGGTGCAAGTGCAGGAGCTGCAGGTTCCAAAATAACGGCATTCGCGTTTTCGCCCCGATTAACGGACGGGAGAAACGCCACGCGATGGACGCGGTTCCAGGTCACAAGCAAGCAGACAGCGGCTTGGAGAAGCGCTTTGAAACAACGTCGTTGCGATCCTTCCGCACGACCAATTTTTAGGGTGTGCCCATACCGCCCGAGAGGTGACAGGCAGGGTTGTGCGCGCCCTCGTGATTCCGGATGCATGATTTGAACACGACGGCACATCGGAACGAGGACTCGAGGCACGGCGCATGCAGAACGTGCGTGCAGCAGTGCAGGGAGCACTTCGCACTTGAGAACAAGATGGCCCCGCCCAGCATCTCCGAGAACTGCGACTGACGGGTTTGCGATGGGCAACAACCCGCTCATCGCCATCCCAAGGGCCGCACCAGAGCCCCGAGCAAGCAGAAGAGCTCACGAAGCCACAGAGCGCGAGGGTAGGCAATCTGAGCAAGGTCACCCAGCCGGGGCTGCCTTTCGGCAAAAGACCGGGCGCATGCGCTCCACAGATCCACTTACGCTGCGCGTATCTGGCCACGTTTGGAAACGGCTGGCTCGCCGACAGATTTCCAATCCTTGCGCGCCCGAAAATCTCGAAAAAGGATCGCTAAGGGAGCCGGCGGCGCGCGAGCCACGCGGCGGCCGATGTGGGGGCCGAGGCGACCATCGCGCGATGAGATGCATTGGCCGGCCAGCAACTTATCCGCGACACACATTGGCCGCCGTCCACCCAAGCGGGATGCGGAAAAGGGCCCAACAGACAACGGGCGAGACCCCTGCGGTCATTGCCGCGCCGGCCCCGCCCAGTCGCGATCGGCGCGACCGCCCCGGCCCCCGCCGTCAATTCTGACACGTACGGGAGCACATGGGACGCAATCTCAGGCCCACAATTTTCCCAGCAGGATCGCGTCCAGCCCTCCGAGCGCCCGCGCAGCCCCGCGGCTCACCGGCATCTTTTTAACTGCTGCGCTGATCGCGCTCGTGGCCGGGAGGCGGTCCAGTGCAGGGGGCGTGCGCCACGCAGAGGGCACGTCTTCCGATGAGCGACGGCCGGTCCCGCCACCTTCGGGGCTAGGCGGGATCCAAGGGCGTGGGAGCGGCCTGCTGTTCCGGGCGGTCGTCCACTTGACGCCAACCGGCCCGCCAAGGTCAAGTTGGCTGTGTGCGCCCAAGGCGACTCGCCGCAACGCTGCTGGGCTGGAGGTTGGCAGGCTGAAGGGTGTTGGCCCCATGCACATTAAGCACCATTTAAGCTCCATTTGGACCGCCATTTGACCAAATTGGCGCCCGGGAATGGGACGAAGAGCCACACAGCACTATGCACTGGAAAACGGGCCAAAAAGCGACCACAAGCCCACACGGTCTTATGTACTGGAAAATGCCAGGGCCTTATGAACGGGACAACGACGCGGAAAGCGACCGCGGCGGGCCTCAAGCCCGCGCTTTGTAAGGCGCTCTTCCCCGATCCTCCGTTTCCCTCCGGAAGGGATTATTCCACCCATCCACGGAATCGCTCGCCCAGGCGCCCGGCCCTCCCACCCCTCCTCACTCACGTCGCGGTCCGGCAACCGGCCCCCCCCCTCCCCCCTCCCCCCGGCCCATGCCCCACAATGGCCGCCCGCGGCGGCCCACCTGAGCCCGCCCCCCCCCGCATCCCCTCCGCCGAATAGCGCCCATTTTTTCGCGCCAAAGGGCGCCAAGAAGGGGCACCAAATTTTCGTGCCTTCCTTCGGCGCGCGTGCACTTTCGACCAGTCGGGGACGCGGCGCGGAAAAGAGCGATTGCGGGGCTTGAAGCGCCTGCGGGGCGGCGAGCCGGGTCGGGACCCGCTCAGGGGCGGAGATGAACCGGATGAAGCCGCGGCCGAGCCAGACTGCCGCCAAGGGCCGGACTGACCTGCTCCTGCGCCTCTTTGACTCGCAGTTCTTCGACGCATGGCTGGCGCTAACGTGAGTGCACCTGGAAAGCATCCCCCCCCCGCCCACCCCACCTCCCCACCTCCCAGGGGCGCGCCCCGCGCGTCGACCAGTTGTCTCAATTTGGCCCTCGGCCTGCCGTTCAGGTACATCTACCGGCGGGAAACCAGCGCGGGCGTGCAGGACTACCTGTGCAACAAGCTGCACGACCTGCCGGAGCACGACCTGGAGCGCTACCTATCGCAGTTCTGCCAGCTGATCGCCTGCAAGCCGGGGGGGTCGCTGGAGCGTGTGCTGGTAGACCTGTGCTCCAGGTCCCTGCGGCTGGCGGTGAAGGTGAGCCTGACGGCGGGGCGCGCGCCTCGCTCGCCCGATTGGGTCCTGATGTTCTGATCGACGGCCTGCGAGGTGGTGCGCTGGAAGGCACGGCATCAGTAGGGTTGCCGGTTGCCGGGTCAGGCCACGGCCTGGCTTCACCTGCGTGGATGGTTTCAGGGCGGCATCAGGGGTGGCGTTCCAGCCTGCCCTGGCTGGGGCGCGTGGATTCTGCAACTCGCGTGGCGCGGCGCCTGGTGATTGGGAATCTGTGGCGCGCAGGTCTTCTGGTTGTTCAAGGCCATCTCCCAGGATCCGAAGTACAAGCACGTGGCCGAAGTGCTGGACAAGTGCGAGAAGGCCGCGCTCAATGGCTCGTGGGTGAGTCCGGGATCCCTTGTGGCTTCTTGTGGCGCTGCGCGCTGCCGCGACGGCTTCCTTCGACGGGCGCCACCATCGTTGCCGTGTTGAGTGCCTGTGTTTGCGTCAGGATGGGTCCTAAAAATCCGAAGCAGCGGAGCACATACAATGGAGCAACCCCCTCCTAGCAAGATTGGGTTCGGCTCTTTTCTCTTGTTTGAAGCACTCTTGGGCCAACGTGAAGGATGCGGGGGAACAAGCAACACGCACTTTTGGCAGTGTCCATGGAATTAGAAGAAATCCTGTTGCTGTTTACCATCGGAGCAGAGTATGGCCATATCAAGTAGCACATCGCCCACCGACTAAAAACATGTGTTGCTCACTGCTGCAGCATGTAATTGTGGCAAGTGTAAGTGTGTGTGTGTGTGTGTGTGTGTGTGTGTGGCATGCAGAGCCAGGGCTGAGCGAGTGTTGTTGTCATGTTCCAGGAGTTGCCGTTCAAGGACCCAGCACTGCAGCCACTCAGCCCAAATTCTGAGGACATTTCGTCAGGTGGCGCTCTTTTCTCACACGCGTTGTCTGCGAGAAGCCATGGGAAGCTTTCACAAGACGGTCTGGATGATTTCCATGGCTCGGGGGCCAACTCGTCACCATATCGGGAAAGTTCACCAGAAACCCCAAGGCCCTTTTCGCCCATGGGCGGGGGCAGTCCAAGCCTCTGCTCCAGTATCGACATGGGCCAGGGGTTAGAGGGTCTCATTGGGTCAAGCAACCCTTATTTGAAAGGTTTGGTGTCAGAGTGCATGGAGGCGGAGAGGCTGCCCTCGCAGGAGCTGAGTGTAGACACAGATATGAGCAGTTCTGCCAACTTTGAGCGCTGCAGGATGCTGAGGCAGGAACTTGGTGAAGGGGAAGGCGTGACGGCACTGTTGGAGAAGAGTTGTAAGAATGCTGCTCAGTGTGGCTCTGGGCTTGTCATCGCCACGGAAGATGAGGTTCTTGATGAACCACCATCGTCTCCACGTCTTCGACAGACTACTTTTGGGGCTACACTGGACTTCATTGATGCGCTGTGCGATGCTTCATCAGGCCTTGTTCACATTGCACAGGTGGGCTTGTTGTTTCTCCTTTATTGTTTGTCTTTTGCCTGTGCCTAACAAGTCAGAATTCCAATCTGACAGTGGGATTGGTGTGCCTAAGCAACAACAAGGTCACACATTCTGCCATCTTATGTGGACAGCTCTTGTTTGAAGGCTGAAATCCCGGCTGACATGGCATAACTGCACCCTCACACCAATGTGATTTCGGTATGCTGTACTACAAGTGCACTAGAGCTGCTGAAATTTCTGTCGTTGGATTAATGCAGCAACCTCTATGGGGCAGCTTGCTGTGTGGTCACAGCGCATTGTTGGCCTGTGCTGCAGTCATTGAGTTGCTAAGTTTTTGCCAATATAACTCCTGCCTCTGTTTGACGACTTTGCTGATCCCTTTACTCTGTAGGAGGCACGGCTTAAGGCTCTTTGCCGGGGTCTGTGTGACATAAACAATGAAATTGACTACTGCAGTCGCAACAGTGTTGCAGTGTATTTCCCCATGTGCGAGAAGAACGAGCGAATCGTTAGGCTGGTGCCAAACGAAGTTGTGCTGCTGAATTCAAGGGAGAAGGTGAGAACATGGCAGCTCTGTGTTGCAGTGCTGGGAAAACTTGAGTTGCGTTTGCACTTCTGCCTTCAAGCTCGTTTAACAGACGATCAGGTGTGAAAACACATGTTTAGGGCAAGTGGGTGTGCAGTAGTTTTATCAGTTTCTGGTCCCAAACTGCTGTGGATGGTAGTCATGAACATTTTTGCAAGAGCACAGTGACTGGCTTGGTGAAATACGGTCTTGGACAGTGATGTGTCACAAACTGTGGGATTGTACATGAGGGCAGGTCAGCCTATGCTTGAAGTGTTTCGCCACTTGTGGTGCTGCAGGCCCCGTTCCTCCTCCTCATCGAGGTCCTGCAGACAGACAAGGATGGTGAAAGGACCGAAGCTGATGAGGTGGATGGGGAGTTGTCCGATCAGTATGCAGACAGTGCACACAGCTTGATGGCGAGGTAAGAGGACATGTGTCCTTGTTTCCATTGCCAATTTAACATCACATTGGGTTGCGTTGCATTGGAGATTGTTGCTTGCTTTTCTTTTGCCACCAGCTTGTCAAACCCTTGTGACTTGTGGCACTGATGCAGAATCCCATTGCTTTGAATAGTATAATCAACCTATGGGTAGCTGCTGAGGTATTTTGCAGTGGGGCAGCCATGCAAGAAAAGAGGCTTCTACTGTCTAGATGGCATTGCTGGATCTGCCGCAATCTGCTGTGGAAATGGCAGACTGTTCCTTCTAATTTCTGTTGTGTGCATAGCTTTGTTGATTGCAGCTGTCAAACCATGACAGAGCATGGCCCTTCGATGGGCCTATAGACGATTTTCTGGATTGCTAGGATGCCCACTTTCTCTCGTTTGTTGCCAGGACTGAAAGCCATATTCAAGCAGGCCCTGGGCCAGGCTCAAAGCCTCCCATGGGTCCTGTCCGTGCAGTGGCCACCAGGGATGCAGATGCTCCTGGGAGCAGTGCAGCCCGGGGCATGCCACCGATGTGCACAGGTCGATCGCTGTCAGAAAGCAGTGCAAGTAGGGACAGTTTGGGGGACCACAGAGCAGCAACTGGCAGAAAGGGACTGCCCAGGCTTCAGGGGTCTGTGCTGGGCAACAGCAGTGCTGGCACTGTCCCAGCGGACCTTATGTTGACCCCCAAAAATTCGTTTACCAGGTGTGTTGAACAGAAGAATTGCAATTCTCACATGTTTGCTTCACGCTATATTGCAAAGGTCTCGTGTGGATGCACCTGCCTCTCACTTTGCCAGCCTGCTCCTTCTCCACAAATCCTTGCAGGCCAAAAAGCCATAAGTTTAGAGGCCAGTCTGTATCTGGTGCTGTGGTGGAGAACTTCTCCTGTAGTTGCATTGGATGTTGAAAGTGCTTGTTCCTATCAGTATTCTGAAATTCTTGCGTTGTAGTGCTCTCTGAGGCAGAGTACTTGGCCCATTCAGTTTGATTTATCAGTTTATTCAGTTTGGTTCTGTATGCATGAAGGCATACTATGATTGTATATGTTGCGCCATGATTTTATGGATGCCAGGAACTCACTGAACCTCTTGCGAGATGCGCTGATTGCTTTGGTTGGCCTTGGTGCCTGGGTGTGGATTTGTCTTCATCAAGTGTATTTAAATGAGCAGCATGCACTGCTGCTGCTGCTGCTGTGAATTAGTTGTCTGTGGCAGTGACCCTGCTGAGCTGGGCAAGGTGCTGAAGAGGCAGACTCGTTTGTGGTGCAGGCGCCTTGACAGGGCGATGACCTCGTTGAGGGGCGATGGGCCCCTTGTGCGAGTCAAGGTAAAGGTTATGGAAAATGCAGATGAGGTGTTAAGGGCTGCGGCGGAGCGGCAGCAGACAGACAGTGAAGAACAGTGGACTGCACTGGGTGGTGTGGCTGGCAGTGAGGTGGAGGGCTCTGCATCTGGGTCCCTGTCCAGCTCCAAGACACTATCTCTGCTATCTCGCATCGGGCTCTGCCGCACACCTTGCTTGGACCTGGGAATTGGTGAGGAATGGTACTCGCTATCACGCAGCAAGAAGGATGAAGACAAGGTGGTGACCGTCAATCTTGAGGTGGGGTAAATGTGGCTGGCAGGGATCTCTGTGGCTAGCATGTTGGTGTGGCTCATGGCGCACTGAAGGAAGGGATGATAAGGCACCAGCAGCCCCCACCAGACAACTTGTAGTTTTTGGTGTGCTCCAGTTTCACAGTGCATGCAGCAGACAAAATGCAGTGGAAGGACACAAGCAAAGGATGCCAAGAATATTTTGCACGGAATTGTCAAGACACTTGTTTTTCCCAACGTTGCTTGCTCATGACCTTCAGCCAAGCCCCTTTCACCGTGTGTTGTCGGGACTTTGGAAGGATTTCTGTCCAGTCAAAGGTGATATCAGGCAGCAGACGCTGTGCATGCTTTGTTGCATGTTTGTTGTGATGTTGAAGTTCTCCACAGGCTAACTTTGTCACTGTTCACCCAAGATGCTCAGTCCGCATAGGACTGAGCTGTTACTTGCCTGTGCTAGGTGGTCGGTGGCTTGAACCTGCACATCCCGCCCCCCTCGAAACGAAACAGACGGGTGCCGTCTCAGGAAGCGATCGAGCTCGTGGCTGACAAGTGCAAGGTTGACAGCATACCTCCCCCAGCTTTATCAGGGCCACTTGCATTCAACCCTTATGACACCCGAAGCTGGTCTGAAGCATCGGTGGCGACTGGCATTGAGATGACTGCAGAGGAAAAGCAAGCACTGAAGCGGCAAAAGCGGGCAAAAGAGGTTTATGGCCAGAGGTATGCAGTCCTCGGCTATGGCTGTTTTGTTGAAGTGATGGGTTTGCTTGTTGAGGGTTGCAGAACAAGTCAATTTGCAGCAATGGCACGGTTGCCTCGCATACTGTGCAAACCACTCTGGGTCACAAGAGTTGAAGCTGTGTGGGGATCTTTTTGTGGAGCTCTGTGTCCTGCTTGTGAATTGTGTCCACCCCTCTTGTTGCAGGAGGACAACTCTGGAGACTCAGCTCATTTCTGGGCGGGGAGCTGATGTCTTTGGGAGGGATCTCTTCTTCTTTTGATGCATTGACTGTTCAATGAAACAATATTTGATTCACCGATCCTTTGGAGTCAACGCTTATTTTGTTTTGGTGCAGATGGGTTGACAAGGTTGCAGCTGTGCGAAGGCAGTCACCTCATGGCAGGCGTAAGGGTTGGCAGTTGAGATGTGTCATCGTGAAGTCTGGAGACGACTGCAGACAGGAGCTGATGGCTGTTCAGTTGATCAGGGTGTTCCAGGACATCTTCCATGAGGCCAAGCTACCACTTTGGCTCCGGCCTTATGATGTGCTGGTGACCTCGAACCGGACAGCTCTGATCGAGTTCATTCCTGATGCATTGTCAATCCACTCCATCAAGCATCGCTCGAGGCCTGGCACTTCCCTCAGCCAGCACTTCTTTGACAAGTTCCGAAAGGGCACGCCAGAGTGCGCTGCTGCGCAGCGGAATTTTGTGGAGAGCATGGCAGCCTACAGCCTCTATTGCTACTTGCTGCAAGTGGGTACCTTGCTTTCAGTGCCCTGAAGTGTCCTGCTGATGTGAATGGCCGGGGTGTGTTGCTCCATCGCCCTGGTTTAGAAGCCTTTCTTCATGGGCTCTTCACGGGCTGTGCACCACAGAGCAATTCAGCTTATGAGCTTATCACCACATGAATGAGCCAGAAGCTGCCTGTGGCCACTTGTGACACAACATTGTGAGCGAAGAGCGCTTTGGTACTGAAGGGTGCTGTCCGTGTTGTGTGCTGAGGGTCGTGACATTGTCAGCCAGCCTTGTTTGCATGGCTATCACATATGCTGTTCTTCAGCGCCGTCGTTCTCTATTTGATGGCCTGGTTGCCCTACTCCAGGTGAAGGACCGTCACAACAGTAATTTGATGCTGGACGATGATGGCCACATCATCCATATCGATTTTGGATTCATGTTGTCCAATTCTCCAGGCGGTGTCAACTTTGAGGCTGCACCGTTTAAGTTGACACGCGAGTTTTTGGAGGTCATGGACTCCAATTCCGAGGGCAAGGCCAGCGAACTCTTTGATTATTTCAAGGTAATCAATGCATGAACGAGACATGTGCTCATGTGTTTTTTTGCTCTGTCGGGCCCTCACAGTGTGTTTCACTGCTGAGACATGAACTGTGCGTGCACTCATATGTGCAGATGCACTTGTGACTTGCTGTTCAGGTGTGAAGCTAACCAGGTCAGGTGGTCTGGGCGAGCAGCATGTTGAGATGGCTGCTCACTGGGCTGTGGACTCCTTGCTGCAGGTGCTGTGCATCAAGGGGTTTTTGGCATGCCGGAAGCACTCGGACCGCATTATTTTGCTTTGTGAAATGATGTTGAAAGCTGGCTTCCCATGCTTCAAGACTGGAGAGAGGGCGCTCAAGGCGTTGAACAAGCGGTTTCATCTCAATTACCCCGAAGAGCAGGTGGGTTATACGTGTTTCCAGAAGCTTCACGTGTAGCCATTTGGCTGTGTGTTGTGGGTACAGTTCCTTGGTGGTGGGATGCACTTTGGTGTGCAGTTGAAATACAGCCTTGTGATTGCAAGGCGAACGCGATTGAGCTCTGCCAACCAGCAGGATGGCACGGCCAATTCCTGACATATGTCACTACACAGTGTAAAACTCAGTGTGAAGGACAGCTTATCTGTCCCTCTGCTGCTGTAACAGTACATGTCTAGTGCCTGACAAGGGGCACGCGAGATGTTTGTGCACTTGAGCCAAGCATTTCCATGCCGAAAAGAGGGCAAGAAGGGAACTGCCGTTGTCGAACCCATGCCAGAATGTGCTGCGTTTTTGAGGCAAATCTTGCAACAACATTTGTGGCTGCCTGTTCTTGCACCTGGGAGCTGGTCCAGAAACTCCACGGATGTGACCGCTGTTCTCTCAATGCGTGCCGTTTCGATTGCTTCGTGTCGGGCCTGCTTTTAGCCGTACAACCAGAGCCTTGTCAGTTGCCGTGTTGCTTGCGACACTCACTTGTTGCTGGAGATCAGCCCTTGTCTGTTGGCTCAATATTCACCCCTCGGCTTGGGCTGCTCAAACACGTATTCTTCAGCACTGGGAAATTTCAGTTGCGGGGCGGTTTGTGTGCTGCACATATCCAGTGGTAGTCTACCCATGCTTCTCTGCGTTTTGCAAATTCTTCCAAATATAACATCACAGTTCAGCGTCCAAGTGCCTCCCCAGTCCTATCACAAGATATGTGGGCCTTGTGCCAGCGAGCAAGAATGTTCAAGGCGATGTAAAGCCCCCAAATTGTTCGAATTCAAAGAATGATCAGTTTCAAGACAGAGAAAAGAGTAGTTCGACACTCCTGGGGAGTCCTGGCAGATCAGCAATCAGAAAAAATCGCATTGTCACTATCTTGTTGTAATGAACTGGGACGAGAAGCGTTGTACATGGTTGTGTGGAGCTTTCCAGGAGCGTGGGTTTGGGGCCACGTGTGGCTGGCCTTTCGTTTGCCTCGCAGTCAAGAGGAGCATGGGTGGTTCCCGAGGTGTGGCCCTTGCGAGGCACATCGAGGCCTCGTGATGGTGCACTGCAAGCTGACGCTGGTTGTGTTTCGAATCGCAGTGCGTCCAGGTGGTGCTGGGCCTCATCAGCGACAGCCTGGATTCGTGGAGGACCAGGCAGTACGACTACTACCAGCGCGTCCTGAACGGCATATTATGACACATGCCTGCTGGTGTTCCGCTGCGTGGGGTTCAGGAGAGCAGCAAAAGCTGTCGTGCACAGCTTGACCGACTCGTTAGTCTATTGCTAGATCGTGTATTTCATGTTCGTGCATAGGAGGGTGCACTCATCTGGGTGCTTGAGACTGTAGCATTTTTTCGCGTGCCTGAAAAGGCAGCGGGGGCAACTGCGGCAGCATGCAATCGCAGCGGCGAGACAGAACAAGACTTGAGAAACAGCCACGCATCGCAATTACAACATGCAATCCTGGTGTAAAGGGCGTGTGCCAGCGTTCGCCGAACCTGGATAAAGATGGGCAAGGCCAGTTGTCGTGGTTCGTTGCCATGATTTACATTCATTGTTAGTTCGCCGGGCGCAGTGCTCGAGGGTGTAGGAATAGGACGGTGGGCAAGGGAAAGGGGGGCACGGGGAAAGAGAAGGGGCGTGTGTGGGGTTGGGGGGTGAGAAGCGTGAGATGGCTTTCTTTGAAGCCACAAGGCAGAACATATTAGCTCATGCTCGAGCTCAGTTGCCGCTGGCTGCATTTGCGTGGGAGGGTGTTTGGTACTGGGATGCCGAGACCCCTTCGAGGGCCATTGTGGACATGTTCTTAACGCGAGGTGCCTGATGTGTAAAGTTGCTAATTCAAAGGTCGGCAGGACAGGTGCCCAGCTTGTAACGTGCATGTGTCGTGCAGCGCCTCGCTGTTGGCTCAGTGGACTGGGCACTGGTGGAGTGGTGGCACAGTGGCATGTTGGGGCGCTGCCATCACCAGGCTCGGGGCTCGATTTGGATGGGGTGCGATTGCGGGTAGCCCTCACAGGATGTGATAGCGCCACATGAACGGCCAGATTCGCAACATCGGGCAAGGCGGCTTGTCATAGCAGGCGAGCAGAGCCACCTTGCTGTGCTGACGCACAGCCGGCTGTCAATCTTTGGTGCGCAACCGCAAGGAACGCACAGTGGACATTGCTACAGGATAACATCATTTTTGCATTGTCCAGTTCCCGAGCGCAAGGTGTTCTTTTGCCCTGGCGAAAGCTTGAGAGAAGGTCTGGACACAAGCAAGTAACACGAGCTGTTAGAATGCAGAATAATACCTTGAAACTCGATTATGTCAGTTCAACGAGGTTGGCGAAGGGCCTAAATACACCGGCAAGGGCTCAACCCAACCCGCTAGGGGTGGGGCTGGCCCAAACCATTTGTTGTTAACCAGGTATATTGCTTACGTGGTACTAGTACAACATCTGGGAATGCACCTACGGCTTCAGTTTAGGACCAGCTATGTGCAACAAAAGAACTGCACATGCATCACAGCCCAGGAAAGTGGGGGAGGGCAACAGCTGTGTGCTGCCCACGTTTCTTGCGTTCGAGTTCATTACTCCAAGGCCAGTGGGCCCCAAGAAACGTCAGCCAGGAAATGGCCAAACGGTGGCAAAGAAACGACAGCAGCTTTCTCCACACAACCGAATGCGCAGTGTGCGATCCTCCAAGCGAATGGGGAACTGAAGCATTCTCACAGGATACGTCGACATCAAGAACAAACCTTGAGGTGGTGTCCTGCTGTCGCTACACAGCAATGTCGGCGACCATGACTGTATAGTGTCAGTGGCCATGATTTCGGTCGGAACATTTGCCACACTGCCTTGTGGGGCGCAGTGGGATGTATCATAGAATCCAGCCCATTAACAGATGGCACAATGGCACATACCTGCTCTGCAAAAGGCACTTCGGCTCCATCACCTGAGCGCATGCCAACCCGTGCCGCAACTGTTTGGGGGTCCATCTCCAGTATCAACCTGTCGCATAGGCGCCCAATCTCAAACCATGGTGCTCAACATCAAAGCTTTCTTTTCTCGTCGCCCTCAAGCATGGGCTTGAGCATAAAGCTCTGACCAAGCCTTGCACTGGCGACATGCACTTTGGAAAGTGACAGGGCATTGCTGCTTGTTCTGTGACACCATGCAACGTGGTCCGTAGCTGCAGCTGTTGGACAACAATAGCAGCATGACACTCTCTCAGTGTCCAGCCACCATGCAATGCGATTCACATGAACTGCCGCTGGCTACCAGGGCTGCTCTGACAGAGTCTGGCATAAAACTCCATACCCATTGTCCACGATCTCGTCCATCACAAGCAAAACTTGATCGAGGTTTTCCAGAGCAGTCTTCTTCTCCACAGCACTCCTGCATCCACAAGATCAATTCACTACACAAGCTTGCTGGTATGGCCTGTGCTCCACCCGGGCCTGAATGTGCAAGGTGTATGATTGTCACACCTGGACAACCCAAGAGCCAGCCAAACAAATCTTCCTCAGGAGCGTCTGCCCATTGGATGACCCTTTTTCCACTCTTGCGACATGACACCCCAAGCCACAAGAACAGCCGCCTCCACAGTGAGTCTGTCCGTTTACAACAAATCGTAACTCCTAAACAACACACTGCACTGTGTGAATGCATCAGATTTGCAACGTTTGCCGCAGATGAAGAACCAAGTGTTGAGGAATTCTGTACGTCCATACCTTGACATCCTGGTGCAGTGGACTGGCTCACTACTTATGTGTCAGCTGAAAATTGGGGCGCATAGCGGTACTTGTAGCATGACGCACACCTAGGTATATCCATCTGGCATTTGGTTGGTGGGCAACAGTATGGCAGTTTTCGTTTGTCTCTTCACAGCTGGCCGCCTTTGTGTCAAAATTGTGGACCGATTCCTGCGCACTTTTCAATGGACACAGGGATCGCCTCAAGCACATGTCCAGAAAGAGCTGCACAGTCTGCACAGAGATGTGTGCTAAGAGGAACAGTAGTTGGGAAAGCAGCGGCCAAATGTGGCCATAAGACAGGCATGCTGGGCAGCAGTGCAGGACCTGTTCCCCTTCTTGCTGAAAGGATTGTCATCGGGATGTGTTGCAGAATGCAGTGTTTACCTCAGAAGCAAAGTGACGGACTCATAGAAGGCCTGCAGGACACCACACAGGACAAGCTCGTTTTCGGACTGCGAGCCCGTGACGTAGAAGGTCAGGTCCCCAAGGCTCTTGTACACGACAACGAGGTCATCGAACAGAATGATCTCGGCTGCACACCACATCACCACAGGCCCCGTTTAGCCTTGGCACTGGGGTGGGTGGCGCCCCTGTATAGAGTTGTGGCAGTAGGGCGGAGCGGGGCTGAGATCCTTAGAGCGAAATCTGGGTGAAAGCCTTGAAGATGCCGTCAGAAGCGAGGGCAACGCGCTTACAGCCCGGCCTTTGTTGCCCTCGGGCCATCGCAGATTGAAGGGCAAAGTTGGACAAACAGGAATCGACGGATAGCTCAAAACAGCCAGGATCTCCACACATTCGCTCTCAAACATCTCTGATCCATAGGCCGGCAGCGCGCGATCCGCCCCCTTCCAAATCGACCCACCTTCCCCCCTGGCGTTCGTTTTGCAGGTCTTGCTGAAGAGCGATTTCTCAAATTCTGCCTGCTGAGTGACAGTCGACCTGGGGAGCGGCACAGAGCGTGATCCTCACATCCTCCGGCCGATGGGCTGCGCGACCAGGAGAGCCCCTCTGCCACGCTGATCTCGCAAGCGCTCCGGGACGCACCATTCGGGCGTGTAGTACTTAACGACGATCCTCTTTCCGTCCGAGTCAAGAAGGGCGAGCGCCTTCACAACCATGCAGGTCGGGTCCACCGTCGCCATGGTGCCCAGGGGCACTAAGGCAGTAGCGCGACCAGCGCCGGCTGCGTGTCCAATGCTTGGACACCTTGTGTTATCCGTGTGTACTATGTATGGCTGGACCTGGGCAGTTCAGCTTGCAGAGCGAGACTCCACGCATGAGCCGGTGTATGCCCCCATTTGGCGCACAAGGAGGATGCCTGTTCCCCGCAGTGAGTGGGCTTTGCCCGGGCAAAATAGGAAGCTGACGGCCCATTCAGGGGTCGCCACGCCTCGACGCTGCCTGCCTTCGTCAATGTAAAAACTAATGATGATGATGTATGATGATGATGATGATGATGATGATTTCCTTAGTTACATAGCGTTCACTAAACCCAACTCCGCTCCCAGCAGCATAAACATAATGTCAACAGCCTGTGCCACCTTTCGGCGATGTAGGTCAGAAGCAAAGGAAAGAGGCGTCCATGTAGAGAGAGATTCATGTGTAGAGGTGGCTGCTGACTGGGAGCAACAAAGTCATCAGAATGTTGTGTCTAGTGTCAGAATGTAGCGTAAGCAGGAATGTATCCAATGTCCCAATATCCCCAGAACCCAGAATCCCAAAGTTCCCAAAAGCTCCCATGTCCCAATATTCCACAAGTCCAGATGTTCTAGAGTCCTTGTAGAGAAACGTAAAGCCCCGTAGGATCCAGAATGTCAGTCAAACGAGCCCAGAATGCAGTGTCGTCACTAGCACCCATGGGAAGTGGTGTTAGAGAATTCCCGATAAGCCCACTCTGGAGTCATGAAGTCAGCACCCAAATTGTCCCTCTGCGATGTCGAAAGAAAATCGTCAGTGGATGGCCATCAGAGCACGATGAGCACGAATCAGGAAGCGCGCGAGATAGGGACGACCCGGTGGTGAGGACAAGAAATCCCACGACCACGAACCGCAGCCGGAGGAGCGATCCAATACGTCGTTAGCGAGTTGCTGCCGCAAGTGTTCAAATTTAGGGCAGGAGAAAAGGATGTGAGAACGATCACAATAGTCACTCTCACACAAGGAACAACCGGGATCGTCTTGAAGGTGAAAGCGAAAGAGGTAGGCATTCACAGGAAAGTGCCCTGTTAGAAATTGAGCCACCAGGGCGGTTTCCTTCCTAGCCAACAATTGAGTCCACATTAAGGAAGGAGAGAAGTGTGGTGGCAATTGGAGCTCGTCGTGGTAGTGGCGAGTGTTGGTGTATTGGGTTTCAAAACGACAAGCGTAGTGGTGATGGAGAATACGTTTTAGGGAGGTTCGGGAATGCGGGACATCAGTGACGAGCGGATAAGGGTGGGATATGAGGGTAGTCTCGGAACTCTGGGCTGATGGGGAGGAGCCCAGTGCTGCCGCCTTGGCTATCAAATTGATGATGATGATGATGATGATGATGATGATGATGAGTGGGCTAACTCTCGGCACCAGTGCAGTGCACATGTCAAGTATGCTGCTCTCAGTAAGAAGGGATATCAGCTGCAACCCACCCGGATAAATTTGCCTTTGGAAGGCAAAGCAGGGCCTCGCGTTTCCCATGCCATGTGTACATGCAAACCGTTTTCTGTTCCTTGTCCGTTCATTGTGTGCAAGCACCTGTGCGAGTGCACGACTAACTGTACGATGTAACCCAAAGAGGACACCAGCGCTCTGCACCTTGGGAATATAACCCACGACAACTCTTCATAGCCCTTGGTACCACAGCCAAAAGTCCGCAACTGGTTCCAATCACAACAAAAGTTTAAAGACAGCTCACAGGGCAAACCACTGCCAGCAATGTGGTGGCCACATGGGTATCAGGGCCTTTCTTTTCGTTCCCAGTTGCCAACGCTGAAGGTCCCCAGCATCGTGGGCACAACTGGCACCAAAAGACTGCTGCTGAGGTCAAAAGTGGTCGCAACAGTCGGAGTGCTGGGAATGGGACAAGTGGGTTGTTGGGGGCCAAGGGATGGAGACACGGCCATCATTGCAAGGCTATGGCATGCGTGTCTTTACCACATGGCACGGGGTGCATATAAAGGAATGCAGGTCACACAAGGGTGCTGGTCCAGAATCATTCAGACAAGCACTGTGGAAACGGAAACTGACACAAATGCATGAGGCTTCAGGGCAACATGAAACGGGATACGAAGGCTGTGTGCACATGACAGTGAAAGCACTGCTCATGTATAGAGCACATCGAATGGACTGGACATTGGTTGAACACCCTTTGACGACACCTGGATTAAATTAACTTGTACGAAAATGGATCAATTCATTGACTACCACATCAATTTTGACAGTGCCATGCAACGATTGAAAGCTATTCTGATAATAAGCGATGCTCCAAAAGGTTTCCCTCCAGTGGCATATGCCATTTTTCAGAAAACAGCAGCTCAGCTAGACCAAGCTAAACATGTGCGCAATGTGCCCACATTCACTATGGTCAGTATCTGGTATAAAGAAATGCCAAAGCTGCTGCCATACACCACATACTATGCGAACCCTCAGCAGTGTGCATGGGACACTGGCTGCATCACTGTTTTGCAACTGGTTGGATGGTGCTTCCCTCTGCAGTAGCCCACTGCCTCTTGATCGATCTGCCCTCAGCCTTGAACTGGTTAAGATGGTGAAGGATCAGCAACCGAGGACCTGGGGGAATGCGCACCTCTTGAAGCGCCCTGCAGCAGTTACACCACAAATCCAGTACCCAAGAAAAAATCGAATGATACAGTGCTGAGCACGGGAATGTTGGTTGCAGTGAAATTCACAACAGGCCAACTACCAGTAACCACAGTCAAACTGAGGCTGTGGAACAGTTGTGAGTAGGTGTTGGAAGTGACTCTGACACAAGGAAAGCCAATCATCAATGCAGTGCCTCACAGCCCTCCAGGTCTTCAGGTTTCGCAGCCAAATTGCACTGTACTGTTCAAGGCACCTGATACCGTCCACTGCTAAGGCAATCCATCAATGAACGTCGTGTGAACACCAGCTGTACTGTGCTGTTGTACCTGAAACAGCCAAATTGACCACATGGTGCCTGTAATAGGAACGGGTGCTAATGCCACAAGACATGGGTATGTACAATGTGCCCAATTCAGTGGCACTCACAAAGCACAGCAAGGCAGTGTGGCAGTAGGTGCTGATGCCGCAAGACATGGGCATGTACAGTTGTGCCCAATTCCGCAGCAATCACAAAGCAAGGCTGTGCGAGAAGCAGTTTCACTCACAGGTCATTCCAAAGCATGATGGTGCTGTCCGTCAGCTGCCCTCTCTTCAAGTTTTTTGCGTATTTCTGCATCAGCATGACATCAGTCCTTTGGATAACATATTGTGAGAAAGCCATAGCCACCCCTTTTGCAACTTGATCGTTTGAATATCATATTGTCAGAAAACCACAGCAAAACCCTTCGCAACAGGCGATGCTGGGCACAGAAAAGTCCAAGCCATATCGTTTGAAATCCCCAACACCTGGTACTGTGCATCAGCATGGCAACATGTAACCTACAGTATTCAAGATGCATATGCCCCACGGAATTACTTGAGTTCTATTGGTGCCCACCAGTATCCATTGATGCTCTAGCTGCAGCACCAACTGAGCATGTTCTCCCAAGCTCTATCACTTACTGATAGCCCCAGTGTAGTCAGCATATATATGCCCCTTTCGAATTCAGATTCTTGATGGTCTGATTTGAACATCTCTCCAAACTGCACACCATAAACCCTCTGTCAGTGGCCATTTCTGCACCAAAGGCACTAGCAAACAGCACGTACCAAAGGAAACTCTCGGAAAGACATCTCAGGGCTCACAAAGGACTCCCCAAAGGCATTGTGAGAGGCAGAATCGATGCTGCCCAATCCGGTGCCAGAGGACTGTTCGGGGCCCTGGTAGGTACTATACCTTGTAGAAAGCACCAGTGAACAATCCAAGCATCAGTGACGTACTGACAATGGCCCCCACGCCTGCATTGCCACTCGCAATCGTGAAGGCCGCTCCCCCTCCAGCAGCTGACCCCATCCTGTACCATTTGGTTGCCACCATCAGGAGCATGCAAGGCGCATGGGCTGGGCCCATCCTTGGGCCTCACCCCAAACTGTTTCTCAGCTGTTACAGATGCGGCAAAGCAACTCCGGGCGACATCATCTGGGGAGGATGGCGATCGAACTGCCTCACAGGGCGATTCCGTTCTTGTGGAGAGCAGCAAGGACGAAGTCGTGGCACAATAATGTCAGGCTTTCCTCCCAGACAGCCAAAACCTACTGGTTCCAAATGTCGTCCTTTTTGCGCCATTTCTTCAGCGCGACGCTCAACCCCCCGCTTGCTCCGCACAACGCCGCCAGGCCTCTCGTCTGGCTCCACACACCCCCGGCCTGCCCCATCTGCCCCATCAATTCCGCCATCCCCGCGTTGCCGGCACTGCCGGCCATCTGCTGCGCCGACGATTTCGTCAGCTGCCCCAAAAAGAATCCCAGCGCTCCGCCCTGGAGCACGCCAACAACGGTGCCGAACGCGATTTCCACGCCGACCGGCTGCTTGGCCATGAAACTTGAGAACCTGGTCTGGATCTCTCGCAGATCCAACCGGGGCCGCTGCTTGGTCTGGATCTGGCCAGACATGCTTGCGCGGTGCTGCGGACGAGCACGCCAGCAAAAGCAAAAGCGAAAGCAAAAGACTCGCGGCCGCCCACAGCCGCTGCACCTCGCTCTCGCTCTCTCAAGATGCCCCGATGTACACCAGCGGAGATGGAGCATTCACGAATTCTGAGAAAAACGCTCATCATGCCTCATGCCTGGTCCTTTTTTAATTCCAAAATACTACCACAACTTCCAGTGTGCCTGCCCCGTCCTATCACGAGATGTGCAGGCCTTGTGCCACCAAGCAGGAGAGTGCAAGGCGATGTAATGTCCCCAAAGGTGTTCCAATCCAAAAGGATGTTCAGTCTCAGAAAAAACAGGATTTTGGGACTCCGCAGTGCCCTAGGCAGTTCAGCAATTAAAATAAATTGAAGTTTCCCCTTCGTTTGTCATCAGGCCTGTTGACATTGTCCATGGAAAAGGCAGTTCGGCAACCTTGCAATTCAATCTTATAATTCAATCTATCATTGACAATGTTTTGGTCCTTGTGGCTGTTGGGTTGGGCCGTCCAGAGAAACCTAATGGGGAAGGGAGGGCAGTCGCCTACGCCCCTCTGCTTGCCGCCACATGGTGCACGTACACTATCGATGTTGGTCGCATGGACTGTGTGCCACTAATGGCGTATGGAACACAGCAGCATTTCTATGGTGCTCAAAGCGTCCACAAGTGGAGCGCAATGTCAATTTGCTCACGGCAAATGTATGTGGATGCATGAGTGGGGTATATTGCCATAATGTCCGCACAGACGCATTCTGCAAAATGTTCTCGGACAGAAGATGTTAGCCAGCGATTTGTATCCAACCAATGATGCCATCTACTTCACACTGGAGTTCGTGGGCTTCTTTAGGAGATTTGTTTGCGTAGCCACATGATGACCACCGTGTCGGTGGGTGGATCAATTCTGCTTGATGGCTAGCCATTCATCTGCATTTCAAAGAGCGATTGAATTTTAGTGGGATGGCTCTAGCAAAACCGCCAGTGCGAAAATCAAAAAAGGAAAAAAAACGCGAATGTTTTCTTCTTCGATTGAGCGCTGGACTCGTTTGTCCTAGCCAGGCTAGCAGGATGAACAATTCAATCACGCCAATATTGATTGTGTCAACACGAGTTGGTATGAAAGAGCGCCATGTAGTTCAGAATACAATGCCTTGTCAGGGTATATTGTCCACAAGCAATGTTGTGGGGAAGCTGTGGATGTGTGTTTTCCCACAATCTTACAGTCCTTTGGTCATTTTTTCCGTTCGCTTTTAAAGTGTTATTCACTAATAGTGAATAAACCAAACTTACCAATAAACCCAAGTAAATAAACCAAGTTTAAACCAAATTTGTTTTCCAACTGTTTCTAAATATTGCAATTGACCATATGAACGATCCGAGTAGTCAGAAATGCAGCGGTCTTTTGGTGGATGCAGTTGAAAGACCGGACTTCTCCCTTCACGATTTCGCCCTATCATTATGTTCTTGGCGGTGGCGCAGAGTGCGTGCTCTAGTAGTCCATTCCCCGAACTACTTCACTAGCGTGAAAGGACGTCTATGGCATGTTTTTGTTCTTGCCATTGCGCTGAATTGGCATATGATTGAACTGCTGTACACGTGTTGTGAACGATGAGCATCCCAGGGATACAAATCGGCGGATGAGTGGCTGTAAGAAAGAGGACTGGTCGTGTTTTTAACCGCCATCGGCAACGAAAGTTGTGCTCAAACTTGGCGCCGGATTAGGAAATATGTAAGGCCCGACATCTGTTTGGAAGCTGGCTTTTGAGGCTCCATGAACGCCCCATTGGAATGGTGACAAGTACGGAGTACTCGCTTCCCGTGAGCACTCCAAGGGAGCGTTTGAGTCATCACTCAACTGGCTAACCTTATCAGGCTCTGAAGCATCTCAACAGCTTCGCATGCATTCACAGAGGGACAAGGCCACATCTCTGGCCCGGGCGAGCCTCTCGCTAGGTGACCACGTGCTCCCCCATAGGCAACGGTCCCCCACAGTACCAGCTCCGGCTTGGAGGACCAACACTGTCTGATCTCGTGCGTTGCGGTGTGTGCGGCCCCTCTTCCAAGAGAACTGCCTGCCATGCTCAGCAGTCCTTTATCGCAATCCAGATGCGTTTTTGTTGCCTGCTGCCTATTTGGCTGTCTGAACAAGTTGTGTGCATGTTCCAAGAATTGAGCATCGAATGTTTTGTTCAACATGACAGCCATGCTGGAGCTTTGTAGCTTTCCAAGTCGGGCTCGGCGCCACGCCTTGTTCACGCACATGCTGGATATCGCCGGCAAGGAAGACATTTGTGATCAGGGGATCCGGATACCTCCGCCTGGCAACCGAAATGCCGCTGTACGCTCGAGTTTTGCGGATATTGCGGATTCGTTCTGGTGGCGACGAGACCCTCAGCACATCAGTCAAGTGTCCATTTCATGCACAGGATTCGTACGCATGACACTGCACGTGCACAATTGCGGCGTTGCCGAGTTGGAGCGCAACTGCCCATGTGAAACGTCATTCGGGATGCTCAACATAGCTGCTTGCACCACAACACCCCACTCGTAGTAACACCGACATTGTACAGACTCGTCCCAAACACAAAACCTGAATCGCACGGTGCACTGGAGAGTTGAACGACCACTAGCCCCTTGCTTTCAGTGACGCACGGGGCTGCCGACCGTGGTGCTGCAACATGTGGAGCACCCGCCCATCCGCAATGAGTGCACACGAACTTGACCACAAGAGCACCGCAGCGCAGACGCTCGATCTTTCAGTTCTTCTCCAGCGGCATTGCCATACAACACCGTCTGCAAAGCCACCCTACACGATGCATCCCCAGCGACAAAGTGCTCAACGCCCTTCAAGAATGCTCAAGAGCCGCACAATGAAGTGTTCACCTTCGAACACGCCCCTCGCTGGTACTGTTCCATCCCCTGCTCGGAGTTGCCACCCTCGATGTTGACCCAACCAAACTGATGAATTGATTGAAGGTGCGCCCCTTGTGGGCCTTCATGTGTTGAGCAGCCGTTGTCCTAGCCATTCCGCCCAGTTGGTTGCCCCAGAGTTGACAAAAGGCTTCCCTTCCTCGCGCACACTCGCTCAGCACCAGTTACATCTGCATCGCCCACAGGCAACATGCAAACCATCTGATACAGAAGTGAACATTCTTGACCACACAACCAAACACAGCAACACAGAAATGCAATGCACCCTGACAGACCAAACAGATGGTTAGACCTTGGGTCCACTGTATCATCTGCAAATCTGTCACTCCCGACTCATGGCCACCCAGCCACTGCTGCTTCCCGCTAGTCTTGCTTCTCGGTGCAATAACCCCTACGGCCTCCCTCTCTATGGATGTGTTCATTTCATCCAAGCCTATGCAATTTGCGCCAATCGCACAGCGCTTCGAATAAATTATGTATGAGTCTGTGGCATGCCAGCAGTGCCCGTCCATCTCACAAACATCCACTCCCAACCACGTGGTGCATCCTTGCTCAATCCAATCATGGCCATACCCCGCACGGCCACAGCACCACAGAATTGGATAATACAACGCCACACAGAATACAGGTTGCCCATACTACCACCAACAAATTGCGTGTGGTTGACTCAAACAGTGACTCGAGCTGGCTCGTGCGTTGGTCGCTTTTGCTCGCAAATCGACCCTAATTTCATGCCCAGTAATAGGAACTACCGCTACCCGATCTAGCCACCTCAGGACCCTGGCCCCATGTGGCCTGCCTGACCCCTCTATTTCCACTCTGCCCTCCTTCCCCCCCTCCCAGATTCAGTTGAGCGACTCGCAACAGAGTGTCCTGCCCCATGGTGTCAAAACCCCGTCCGCCAAGCTTTCCATCTCCCTGCACGCCACGCTGGGAGGCACCAGACCACCACTGCTGTCTGCTGTCGTGGCCACCGATGCCACCACCCACTGTGCTCCCGTTCCTCTGTCCCCCGCTCGCAAGGGCGGAGGTCAGACGAAGGGCCGCTGAGTCGCGAAGAGCTCCATAAGCAGCAGAGTAGTCTGGGTGTGCCAGTGCATGGCCCAACGAGTCACTGGGCAGCCCGTACATCGGTTGGCTTGCAGCGAGAGGCGTCGAACCCATTCCCAGGCCGTTTCCCATTGCCACAACGTTGCTACCAAGCAGCCCGGTGTTCGCTTGCCCTGCCCTCTGGTGCTGTTGCTGGTCCATCGGGTAGGTCCTGCTGGGCCAGCCATCCGTGCACTGCTTCCCCAGGAGCGCTATGATGTTGTCTGATGCACCGCTTTGGTGGTTGGCGCTGCCACCCGCTGCATCCAATGACAGACCAGCAGGGCGTCCAGCATCCACCAAGGTTGAGTTGACAGTGTTCCAATCGAAGCCCAGCATACCTGGTGGCATTTCCAGGTTTCCAGTACTCCCAAACTGCCTGTTGATGGACAGGACTCTTGTTCCCTGCTGCAGACCCGGTGGTTCACCACCCTGCACTTGGGGCTGTGTGGTTGCAGCAACCCGGGCAGAGTATGGTTGCGCACCTGCATCGCCTGTGCCCAGGCTGCGCCCTCCCCACCCTCGAGTGGGGGGTTCGCTCCGCTCCTTCCCCTGTTCTTCAGTCGAACCTCTTGGGGTCGACCGCCAGCTTGATGCCATGTCAGCCCGTGAGCTCTTTGGGGCATCCCATCGTTCATAGCGTGCCGAACGCTGGCCAACGCGAGCACTGCCTGGTGGGGTCACAGGGGGACGGGCCTCCTGTCCAGACGCCCAGGGCCGGGCGCTGTTGGGCGGGCTTGCAGGATCGGCGATCTCCTGAACGCCAAGGTATGGGCGAGCAGTTGCTGGGGGCGTTGTCACCAGCTGCGACTCCAGGCCACCAGTCCAAGGCCGGGCGCTCTGAGGGCCTGAGCCCTGCGCCTGGGCTGGTGCGCCCCGCCGCCAGCTGTCCATTTCGTCAGCAGCGCTCCTCACGCTGCTTGGTGGTTCAACTCCCCGCTTCTTGTGCCAGTGCATGCCTTGCCAAGTCCCAGGATCTCCCTCCCCTCGATCGGAGTCATCTGAGCTCTTCTTTGGCGGGGGTGCCTTGGGATCGGTCTTCATGATCGACAAGTTCAGCTTTGGCACAGTGTTTGGGCGTGCAGCTGAGGGTCCAACTGCCAAATCTTTGGGGGTGGCAGGAGCACCAGGGGCTTTGTCGGCACGGGGTTTGGACGGATATGGACGCTTGAAACCGTCCACCACCAAGATGTTTGGGGAAGCCTTGGTCACTTTCCCACTCTTGCTCTGCAGGGCTGGCGCTGTGGCTGCATCTGACTCGGCCACAGCTGGAGTCTGGGCAGCATCAACAACTGGAGAACATCGGGTCACAGCCACTGGGCTTGGATTGCGCCACCGTCCTGAGTTCTGTCCATTGGCTTTCTGCACCGAGTTAAAGCCCCCTTGCGTGGATCCCAAGCGCGATGATGGACTCAGCGGTGGCACCTGGCGCCCTACGGCCATCCTCCCGCTCCTGGGTGTGGCACGCGGAGCAAAGTTGGAAGTGAGGTCAATGTTCAGCCTGGAGGCCCGATTCTCCCGCATGGCCTTGGCCTCCGCCTTCTTCAGGTTGGCGCTCTCCTTGATCTCCCTGCACAGCAACAGCTATGTCTCAATACATCGTCAAGCTGTGGACCAAGTTAGATTCTGTGAGGCACCACATCCAAGGCCACCAACGATGCCCTGCTGCAAAGAGTTCACATCCACAACCAACAGCACCCCCCGGTCGTAGAACACCAACACGATGAGCCTGGTGACACTGCAGAGCAGTTCAATCACACACAGCTTGTCCCTGCCCCTGCAGCTACTGCGTCATGTTCTGTGCCACAGAGCAACTGGTTCGAATATTGCAGTATCCCACCTCGCATCCTCCCGCATCTTGTCAGTAACCTCGACACCTGCCTGAGACCCTATTTCATCCATGAGACGGCCAAAATAGCTGCAACACAGCACAAGCCAAGTGTCAAAACAAGGCAACAAGTTGAGGAGAGGGCAGCACCAGCGTCCTGCTTAGCGAGATTTAAACAGCACCAGGCAACACTGCCCATCATGAAGATTCCAGTTTCCAACGTCGATCGTTCCCGTGCTCTTGCGAAGGGCTGTGCTGTCACCCCAGGCCTGCCGCGAGCACGGCAGCGGCTGGCGACGTTGCCACCGCCAGCCCGTCCCACGCGATCCTTAGCAAACAGAGCACCGACGGACCAAGTTGCCGCTGCGAGCCAACCAGGGCTTCGGTCCGAGGGGCCGCAGCCGGCGCGAGGCAATGCGTTTCGCGCGCCCAGGCCCCCAGCAAGCGATGGCAGGGCGCCACGGCGGTGGCGGTCAATCGGCGACGGGACGCCGCGCCCAGGGGCGGCACGCACACGGCAGCACGCCGTGCAACGCACGATTCGTCGCACAGTCCCGGCGCTCCAAATCGCCGCGGCATCGGCGGCACCGCGCGACAGGCCACGCGCGACGCCGCGAGGGCACCGGCCGGCCACCACACGACCGGCGAATGGCCAGCTCGCAACACGCAACAAAGAAAATTACGAAAGCCCCACCCCAGTCGGCCCAATCCCCACGCGGAGGGACCGGCGCGTACTTAAGCTCACCACATGCTGCTGGGCACCGCCTTGACCACCCCCCGCGCCTCGACCTTCCAGTACTCGAAGTCATCCCAGTCCTCGCCCTCGTCCCATGGCTTCTGGCTCACGTAGTGCAGGAACACCGGCGCCACGCCCAGCTCCTCCCGGTCCGCCCACGACACCCAGCCGTACTTGGCGTGTATGTGGCTCCACTCGTTGATGAAGTACCGCGTGATGAGCAGCTCGTCGGGTCCCACCATCGACTCCACAGACCCGTAATGCTCGCGCGCCTCCACCTTGGCGCGGATCCGGGCCAGCGTCGCCTCGCAGGGCTCCATTATGAGCAGGCAGCCGCGCACGCCGTACCGCCCCTGCCCGTTCTTCAGGCTCTCCTCCACGATCGTCCTCGGGAGCTTCTGCCCGTGCATCCTCTCGTTCTCCCGGATCTCCCTCACGGCGGAGCATATGCCGGCGGGCGCCGGGCAGTCGAACAGCGCGTCGGGGTCCTCCACGGCCAGCATGTCCGCGTCCAGGAACGCCACCTTCTTGTACTCCGTCAGCCCGAACATCGCAAACTTCGTGAAGCACTTGTCCAGCCAGTAGTTATACATCTTGTCGAAGCGCTCGGAGTACTTCTGCAGCGCCAGCGTCTCCAGGTAGGGCACCTCCACCACGGCGTCGGCCACCGCGCCCAGCACCCCCCGTGCCGACTGCGGCACGTCGGGCGTCACCATCACCACCATCTCCGCGGCGCTGCTGCGGCGTTTGATGGACGACGCCAGCACGAGGGCGGCACCCACATACGACAGGTCCAGGCCCATCACCAGCGCCACCCAGGCGTAGGGCTTCCCGGGCTGCCGCCTCGCCGAGACGCCCACCCCAGCCGCCTCCGGCGCCGCGGGGGCACCGCCGGTGCCCACTTGCGCTCCCGCGTTCTGCTCCATGCCGCCCACCCTGAATCGCGCCGACCCGCCAAGGCTCGGCGCCCGAAGAGACCCGACCACTGCTGGTCTTACCCGCCCCGCCCTATTAACCTTGCCTCAATTTATCAATTTAGTGCCTAATCTTCCGCGTCCGCTCGGGCGCCCCAGGCCCGGCCAAACACTCCAATGAGGCAGCCGCCTGGCCTCTGGCCGGACGTCCGCGATGCGCAGGCACACAAAGCAGAGCGGCCCTGCTATCCGCGGAGCTGGTGGATGCTTTCAGGATCCTTCTCTGCCCTCCGCGTGCGGGCGCGTCCCTCAGGAGCGCGCGTCAGGTCGCGAGATGCCCAAGGGCGATTGGATCGCGGCGGCTTGCTTCGGCGGCGAGGAGTCGGCAGGTGATGGATTCCGCGCGGGCAGCAACCTCCTGCACGCGGGGAGTGCCGCCCCCGGCCGCGTCCCCAATCCGGTGATGGGAGCCGGAGCGCGATGGACGGATGGATGCCCGCCAGATGGGCGGCGCGCTCGGCGATTGACCTACAGAATATCCCCTTGCCGCTGCCGGAAGTCTCCAGAGGGGGGGACTGGCATCCGGTTCCCCTGACCTTCGTCGATGGCCCACGGCACCCCTCCCGCGCCCTCTTTCTTCCGGAGTGAAAAATTGGCCGGCTGCGTCGGCCGATCACCAGCCAGATGGGACCCCTTTGACAGGATCCTTGTTCTGCGGACCCTTGGCTGCCGACCGGTTGCCCTGGAGATCACGGCAGCCGCGCCTATCCCCGTGCTGCGATTGAACGGCCGAAGCAAGCGGGAAAAGAGTGACGCCTAGGTCGCGTTCGAAGAGTCTGAAATGCAGCAGAGTTGCCTGCCTCGCTTCTGCTGGATTGTGCGTCGTGTGTGGTTGTGCGGGTCGGTGGTGCCAGGTGGGGGAAGCTGATGGCCCCGCGCCCGCACCGCACACGGGCCGGCTGCGCACTCGACTAAGTACTGCAGCTTGGTGAGATTTGCTGGCCATCGTGGGCGGTCATCATCATCAAGTAATCTTACATCACGCGTCCTGGAAAGTCACAGGAAAATAAATGCAGTGGACGGGTTCACTGGTGTGTTTGGGGCCTCGAGGACCCATTTTGCGCGACGGCACTGTTGCGGACGGCCAGATGTGAGGGCCTGTACCTTGTGGATGTGAACAAACACACGCGCTTTGGAGCATTGCAAGACATCGCCAGTTTGGAGCAGGGGCTTCTACTGTGTCATGTGACAAGTGCAATGAAGACGAGGATTAGCTAACACGTGGGTGGCAGCAAACGGATCGCTGCGGCTTCAACACATTGGCGTAATAGATCCAAGGAAATCTAATTGCTACACCAACTGAAAGCAGCGATGGTCACTGATGAGTCAGCAAGTACGCAACGACACAGCAAGCACACAGCCACGCTTCATGCTCTGCTTATGCGGCGTACACACCAAAGCTGTTGCAGACAGCTTGGAACCTATGGTGCGGAAATTGCCACTGTTCACCGACAAGGTGCCCCAACCGCTGGCTTTTCCTCGCGGTCTTTCTGCACCTGCCAATGTGGCATTTATTGGCTACAGTCTATGAAAGGGACGCAGCGGAAGCCATGTCCATTTTGGGGGCGCGTGGGCCCGGAGAGGGGGAGGCGGGGGGCCGGGGGAGGGGGCAAGTTTAGTGAGTTTACTTGTCCAGATCAGAGCGGCGTTGGTGTGGCGTGTCAGAAAGGGGCGTGAGGCCTAAGGCCAAATGGGTGGGTGTGGGTGGGTGTGGGGTGTATGGGCTGGGTGTTTTGTCAAAAAGTTGTGCAAGAAACCGCGCATTGGCTGCAGTCGTTGAGAGTTTCGCAAAGCACCGCCCCTTCAGCTATCAGGTGATGTCGGACAACCCGCCAGCAGAGAAGCTAAATTGCTTCTCCAACTGCGGCACGAAAGAAAGGGGTTTGAGTATAGTAGTTGTTTGGTATTGTAACAATGAAGCACTCGTGTAACGACACCATCGCGCTCACGGTTGTACGGCTGACCACGCCCTGAAAAATGAAAGTACAACAGGTGCGGCATGAAAATCTCAACACAATTCACAAGTTCCCCATCAAATCACCAACACAACTCAACCCTGCCCACATGCATTGACAGCCCTCCAAAATGCTTGAATCTTTAGCTGCACCCGCCAGATGCTTAACAAGCTTCGTTGTGGGCCAGTCACGATGGGGCCCACGGTCTGGACCCCGTTACAGCAACGACCTTCTGCTCAACCTCATGAAGTAGTGCATCCAGCCCAAATCCATTCAGCGCAGACACCATCACCCGGGCAGAGCAGCCCCGACCTGGTCGCCGACCGAACTGCGACATCAGCCCTTCGCCCATAAACTCATTCTTCGGGCTTTGGTAACTTCCTGGTGTCCACAAGTCGGGGATGTCCGGCATATTGTCGGCCTTATTCCACACTTCGATCACCCTTTCACTCAAATCCTCGTCCTTCAAACCCAGCTCCCTAAGAATCTACGATCAAACAGGGCTGTCAGCATCGTGGGACGACATTCAGTTCTGGCAGCAACATGAACACATGCATTGCCGCCATATCTGGCATGCGCGAGCCAGGGCCGTATGTCAACGTGCATGTCAATGTGTCAGTGACATCTAGCGTTGGGCAGTGACATCATCATCAGGAGCAGCAGCAGCAGCAGCATTTGTTACATAACAAGGCAATGAGGTAGCCGTCAGCTTCCCATTTTGCCTGAGCGAAGGAGAGTCTGTGATCAGTTCGTTAAAATCTATTGTAAGCGCACAAACAAAATCTGTGAGTCTATTAACTCCTGACGTCTAGAAGCGATTATCGATGATAATACATCAAGCAGCGTTAGCGTAGGTAAAGCATTTACGTCTAGGATGGCGCAGGGTGGGAAGCGCCAGATTGGGATGAATGGGAGATGGCGCTTCTCTTAAATACTATGGGACAATTTGAACTCGGCAACAGAGTACCAGGCGCGGGGGCGCGCACTGGTGACTGGACAACCAGCTTGGACCTGGATTTTGTGTTCCCGTTTCTGGACTCACTCGCGGGGGAGCCAAAAGGGGAGGCGCGCCAGTGAGTGCCATCCTTTTTGTTGCCGAACTAATGCTCGGCCAGTAAGGGGCCACCACAGTGCATTGAATTGGGAGGCGTTCGGCTAGGAAATTGGTGAGATGAGGAAGGAGCGTCAAGGGCGGGTTCGCCCAATTGTTCTCCACGCTCCAGTGCACAAGGGGTTGGGCCAGCGCATCACTGCCCTCCGTATTCGGCGACCGCATGGCAGAATTGAAACGCTCCACCTGCCGATTCTTGACCGTTGTGAAGCAACCCATTATATGGGGGCCTCACCCGCGGTCCAAGAGTCGGAAGAGTTGGAGGTGGAGGCGCCAATCCATGGGGTCGTGGGTGCGCAAAAGGGCGATCGTTTTTGTTGCCTCAGCAATAGGGACACGCAGACCAAAAAGGCAAAATTGTCATGCACGAGTTCCGGATTTCTCTCTTTGTACATTAGTGTATTTGTACCAATGGGCTTTGATTGGGACTTCCAGTGTGAGTGCAGTTGATTGCGCCAAAGGGCGGGAGCAGCCGGCCGTTTCACGTAAACAATCCTTCGAACGGATCTACAAACATGTCCACACTGCTGGTGTCTTCTCCACCCAATCTTCAATGATTCAGCGATGGTACAGACATATCCAGCCAGTCTACCAATACGAACGATTCCTGTCGTCATGACAACCTATCTCCTTGAGGTCATTCTTCCTGCGATTTCGTTGTGGGGTACACTTCCTGGAAGTTGAGCAACAACGACACCAAGTGCGACAATCTATTCCAGAATTTTCGAGGCGATTGTGTCCTTTATGTCACTTGGCTCCAGATGTTGGTTCCTGCTTTCCGACAGGCGAAGACACTTCTCTTGATGTATTATCATCGACAATCACTTTTAGTTTTTGGAGTTTTCCTTTTACATAGCGTGCACGCAATGGCAGCAGGGCAAGCCTTTGCTCTCAGTTGGCTTGTGTCCATTACACCCAAACACCCAGATAAAATATGTGAGCCAAATTTCACCACATAGCTTTTACCCATAACCATAAATTTACCCATAGCTTTTGCCTGTGTTTAACATTAGATTTCAACGAACTGACCACAAACTCTGCTTTGCTCGGGCAAAATAGGCAGCTGACGGCTACCTCATTGCCCTGTTTTGTAAAATTGATGATGATGGTGATGATGATGAAGTGAACTGCAATGTTGACTCCGTCTTTGCATTAGACGGGTTGTCTTTAGACGAGTTGAGTCAACTCGTCTAACCAGCGCCCATCATTTGCATTTAACCTTCAATTACATATATGTTGAGTACATTGTGGCATTTGGCAAACTTTGTACAAGGCGGCCCTCTGTAATGAGGCTAAGAGGAGGCGGGGCCGCTGTGGTTGCCGTTTCAGGGTGGCGGACATTTCAAAAGCAGGGGCGGCCAAATATCCCCTGGGGCCGTGGATTGCGCAACCAACGTGTAGGCACTGAGTTCACAGAGACTCGGGCAGCACGGCGCTCAGGGCAACAGTTGAGCGAGCACGCATTATTTGCACATTCAGTTATCTGTACCTTCATTTATACATTGGCATTTTATATTTTACACAATTGTTTATACATTTCACATCTATTTATACATTTGTTTATCATGGCGAACACGTGGTTGATTGTTTCACCTGGATGACAGACTCTCTTTGCTCGAGGACATCGGGAATTGAAGCGTCTAAAACATGAAGGATGATGCTCGCCTCCTGAACTTCTTCAAGGGTCGCCTGGAATGCATCCACCAGCTGCACAGGGAGGTCTGATATGAAGCCCACAGTGTCTACAAGGAGTGCAAACTGCAGGACAGACACACCCGAATTGGATGGGCGACACAGCGCTACAAACTTGCAAAGAGGGGCACACACACTGCAGGACTGGCCGCCATGTCCTGACCTACATTCTCCACAGTGCGCTGCCCAAACCATAGTGAGCAATCGATCGACGCATTTCGCACACGTAGGGAGATTGGCAGTTCAAATTGGTTGTGCATTGTTGTGTTTCTGGTACATCCAAATATCGAATGTCATACTGCACCCAGCGTCAGTCCCGCAAAAAGGCACGGCTACTTTACATAGTGCACAGCATGGACCGCATGCAAGCGAGCAGGGACAAATAGGGCAGTCCTACGTCTTTTGCATGTCCTTTTTAGCCTATTCTACGCGGTGGCGATATCCATTCTGTACCATGACCATCAATGATTTCAATCGACAGCACAGCCAGGCAGCTTGCGTTCTGCTGCAACCACAAGCAATGTGGAGCACATGGGTCCATGTTGGTACAGAGGCAGGCATGGCCCTTGCACAATACAGCAAACAGGTCACTTTGTGGTTGTGGGGGTCATGAAATGACTATGGTGATGTGGCGGGAAGGGGGACAATATGCACAAAAACAACCACTCGGTCAACCCATTTCTGGAGGCCAATTTGATACCAAAGAGGAAATACTAGCAAGGAGGAAAGTGTAAAGCAGCAGTCCTGTAGGCAAACTATGCACAGAATCCACAAGAATCAACACACTGCCATGAGATGGCGAATTTGTGAACCATAAACACCATCAACTGTGCAAGCTTCCTCTCCACCTTTCCAGATGGTAAGTCGAGCCGCTTCACTGCAGGGTCCAACGTGGCAAACAACATGTCGTCACTGCGCAGGTGCTTGTTCGTCAATTTTGACACCAACGTGGTCTTCCCGGCATTTGTGTAGCCTACCACAGCCACTGTGGGAGCATTGTTTCTTTTGCGACCCTTTCTCTGCAAAGCCCGTGTCTTTCTGACGTCCTCTATCCTCTTCTTTAACATCCTTTTTCTCCTGCCAATGCGAGACTTTTGTAGTGCCAGCTCTCTCTCACCGGGTCCACCACCACCCAGTCCTGAGCTGCCACTTGATCCCCGATCCCTGATCACCATGTGCACGATTGCAGTTGAGCAACGTTCAACATGCGCACGAGCACACAAGGCAGTCCACAAATCTCCAGGGTCAAAACACATGCACAATTTGTGGCATGTTGTATGCTCCATGGAAACACGCTCAAGGCATAGCAACAATGGATGTTCAAACAGTGGTCATGCAACAAAGTCTCAAGCAGCCACGACTTGGTTGTGATCCCAAAGGGCAGGTTTGTGCAATTTCTGCATATTTTGCACAAAGATGTTGATCTGTTTCAAAGGACATTCCGGAGCACCAGCAACCCTGAGTTGTGAACGATAATACTTTCTGGGCAACACAACCAGTGCATATTATTTCAAAAATCTCAACGCACTTCAACTCCAGTCTGACAACATGCTTCTTTTCTCACTGTTACACACCATATTACACTACAAACAAGTATACAAAGTGTATCTGTACCCCACAAGTTATTGTCCCATAAGAGCAACTGCTTCCACAACGATAATGTGCAGGGGCACCTCAATGCAGATACTCAGGTTCCAAACCTAACAGGTGATCATTGCATATGATATGATATATGTTTGTGTATTATTGCATATTGACAACCAGACCTTGCACTGACCACTTCCCGGCCCTCCCCAAATGCTCCTCTCATCCCCGATGCATCCATTACACGCACCAAGCGACTGGATTCATATTCCAGCTTTGCAAGTTCGACCTGCACAAAAGAGGCATTTCCCTTGAGGGTGAACATCCACTGACCACCGAATGGCAGGGCATAATCTTTGAGAACAGGAACACACCATAGGCTCCTGAATTATGGTGTAGCACCACCTGGGCACAAGCACCCAAAGAACTTGTCTCTCCAGTTTCAGGAGGGCATGTATGAAACTGTTTCGACTTTGCTGTTCCAAGATGATGATGAGCAGAACCAGACAAGGGTGCTGTCAATAGTCCAACAGGCAATGGCTACAAAAAGGTGCAACAATTTCCCATGACTCAGTCCCACGCCCACGCCCAAAGTTTCTTTTCAACTTTTGAGGATTTTCTGGTTTGGTCGAGTGCCGGTACAGAAACTTTCTTGAACAGACAGGAACTATGCACATTGTGGACTTACAGGGGCAAGGGAAGCTTTGTGTGTTCGGATGAAAGACAATCAAAATGCATGCAAGACAGGCCGCAAAAAAGCAACAGATTGCCTCATCCTTGTGCAGCTGCAACAAGCCAACCATAATTCCACACACAGGTCAGGCTGCTGCTGAGTCGCAACAGAAAGTCATTCTCCATTTCCTGTCATAGCACATTGTGCAACCGCAACTGCAACATGGACTGCATGATTGCAGTCAAAGGCCTGTTGGGGTGGCCCTTCCGTTGGCTTCACCTGCAGTTTTGCTTCCTTTGTCTGTGCCCGTTGTGCAAAAATGCCGATGATCAACCCGATGCGATCAATAACATCGCATTTGACAGCCCTTTCCAGGTTTCTCAGCTGCACACCAGAAAGTGGAGCATTCACAAACACACGGTCACAGCCGAGCTCCTGACAGCGCCCATAAATCGATTCAACGGCTCCAGGCCCAAGAAATGTTGATGGATATGGACGAAAACCAGACGATTTGCCAATCTCCATGTGGGGGCAGTCCTCACCTGCGGCAGCGAATGCAAATGTAGGAGCCGTCGATCCCTTTACGAGGCAACTGTACAGTGCTGTTCGCAAGACGTGCCGAGCAGCACCACAGCAATCCTCACTTGAGAGATATCTCCTTGTGCTAGTGGCACATTTTCCAGGCAATCCGTAGTGCATCACAAGCCACACCAATGCAAGAAGACATGAAGAACACAGCATCATTCTTCTGTGCCCTTGGAACTGTCTTGCTCCACAGCTCACAAAACCTGAGTCTAGATCTATCCCTACCTACTGAGTGCATGAATAAATTTCTACTCCAAACATGACGCTCAGGACCTCATGTCAACAAGTACACAATCACAAAGCTAGGTGCGATCGGGATCGCTGTTTCAGCGACATCGATAGCTGCCATTCATGCTGTCAGTCACGTTATGCTTCAGTGGGCATCCCAGTTAAACGAAAGTGATTGGGCACGCTCCTTTGACTCTGCTGCCACTACATGTTTCGCAATGGCAAACCTCGCCCTCAATCCTGTGAGGTTATGTTGAATGCTGTTCGCATCCAGCAACTTTGGTCCTTGCTAGTTTGCAAATAACCCTTCCAGTTGGTGTGCTTCATTTTTCTGTGCGTGTCCAAGCCGTGCATTGGGAATAGCAAATTTGCAATGGAACACAGGAAACGTCGAGACTGATACAAGAATCCTGCCAACACGCACACAGAAAATGTATGAGAAAGCAGAAAGACCAAAAAATGTGTAAAGCAACAAATGTACCAGAAAATGTTTCTGCCAGCCTCAGTGCCTCTTGCAGGTGTTCCCGGGCCTGATGCCGGGGTTGCACCACCAGCAGGTCGCCACCGTCCATGCGAGACGCCAAACATCGAAGGGAGTGCAGGATGCTGAAAATGGGATGCCCCAACAACCTGACACAACGACGAAGCAATGCGTTTTCCTCGGCCAACAAGGTGCAACAATGGATATATGACCAATTGCGACATACAAAGTGAAGAGCCACAGCTGTCACGCCCCGTGTCGATTTTTAATTACGATGCTGACACAGAAATATTCAGACTCCAGCTGTCTGCAACGACTTGGCACGAAAGGTCCACAAAGCTGCAACAGTGATTGGGATGGGCGTTTCCATCATCGTAACTTCGGGCGGTAATGCCATTCAGCGCTTTGGAAGAGGACGACGCGTGCAGCAACGCGCCATACTCGATGGCTCAGGACAATCTCCTCCTAACCATGGAGAACTTACCTTGTCCTGGGACCAATGGGTACAGATTGGCGCGGCCACGGGCTACACGTTCTGTGTATTATGTGCATCTTCCCAAACATTGCTGTCCTTGGTGACGACGGCCGAGACGGATGGGCGCCGCGCGTCGCGTCTGAGGCGCCACACCAATGCGTAGGGTTTAGGAGCGGCACTTCGCTCTTGTTGCCTGGGCCAAGGTTTTCAGGGTGAGGGATGTTGCGCCATGATCCATCCATCATGCTGACGAAGGCGCGGTGGCGACCCCTGGCTGGGGACTGTTGGCTCCAGTACACGGCTGCGGTTTACGACGGAGCAAAGGGACAACAGGTGTACTGTCCCTTATATTCATTCCGTTCATCAATGTCCTTAATGTCCAATGCCTCATCACCCCTTTCTGCGTCCAGCCGTTAACAGTGCATTGCGTTGATAGCTGGTCAGGTCACTACATTGGGCACTGTTCGATTCCTGTAGGCGAATGGGCTCAGGAGGCGCTGGTTTGTGTGTGCCTGTAGCGCAGGTAGCACTTGTTCTGTGCTACACGTGCGCACACATCACCAATATGTGCTAGCATTGGATGCATTTCCAGTGCAATGCCACCGGCGCACAATGTGCCTCGCTTCGGTAAATGTGACTGCTGCACGTATTGACAGGGATCATGGAATTGAAGGTTGCAATCTATTTTCCTTTTACATAGCGTGCACGCAATGGCAGCAGGGCAAGCCTTTGCTCTCAGTTGGCTTGTGTCCATTACACCCAAACACCCAGATAACATATGTGAGCCAAATTTCCGATGTCGTCTGCATGAAACGAAGGCACAGTGTGACGTCACATTGTGTTCTGGATCGTGTCGTTGATAGGCCAATGCGTAAGAACGTGGCTGAACCTCCCCGGCACTGACCCAACCAAGATTTTGAAGGTTTGTTTGCACGCCTCAACATGAACACCGACGCCCGCGGCTGCGCCGGCAACAGTCTTTAGGTACCAATACAAGTGAAGCGTGCCCACTGGGACAATCGGCAGCTATCTTTGGGCTGACATGAAGTTTGTGTCGATATCAAACTCATGAACGGTCAATTCTTCCATCCGTTGCACAAAGTTTATGTTCTGAAGGAGGCTCTCAGACCAGTCACTCCTTCATATGCGAAGACGCATCTTCATCATTCATTCACATAATAATATAATAAATAATAACATGGCAATGAGGCAGCCGTCAGCTATCTCCCCCAGCAAAGCACTGTCTATGGTCAGTTCATTAACGCATCTACGCAGTTGCCTTGTGTCTGGGAGTCCCCCCAGTTAGTCGATAGGTCTCATTCTCTTCAATCAGCATCAAGAAATCTTAAATATCGAGGCGAAGAGGTAGCCATCAGCTCCCTATTTCATCATCATCACCATGAGTTTTTTACAGAACAAGGCAATGAGGTAGCCGTCAGCTTCCTATTTTGCCTGAGCAAAGCAGTGTCAAAGCAGTGTCCGCTCCCTATTTCACCAAGAGACTGCAAAAAGGCCACTGGAGCTAAGTAACAATTCAAAGCTGATATCGAACATTGGGAAACTGCTGCGCTGCGGTTCAAATCCTTATGGTGCATCGAATGGGCATCAGATAGGAACGGATTTAATTTGTGGTGCCAATGCGCCCTTTCGCGTTTACTTGAACCAGAGACGTTGTTGACTTGCGGATTCAGCTGAAACGGGCATCGCCCACTTGCGTAAATTAACCCAGCGAAGGTTATGGTCCTTGCAGCCAGATTCGGTCTTTACGACATAAACACAGCGCATATTTACGTATTGACGCGTAGAAGTAGTACGAATACTAACTTTATGCGTACTTTATTTTTTACACAAATGCACATTTTTGGCACGCGAAAACGCGCAAAATACGTACATATAGTCCTGTGTACATAGAGACAGTACATGCATATCTGTATGAGCTTAGACACATTGAGTCCGGGGAGTAGAGCCCAGACGCTCTGGAGCGGCAGAAAACCACCTTTTTCCGGCCATGTCGTTGCCTTTGCCGAGGGCGAAGTGGACACCGTGCTTCGGGTGCCCAAGCGGTTGGAGGGCTGGTCTTTATTTGCGACTTCGTCTTGCATCCGATTGTCTCAACGCTACGTGTTAACTAAGTAAATAGTGCCGTTTCTGTGTTAACGCGTTTTTGAGCGTAACAACGTAAACGTACAAAATTTGTAGCACTTATACTAGAAATGGTGCTGCAAACGTGAAGACCAAGTGTGCTTGCAGCCACGATTATCCACACAACACAACAAAACAGCATCCCGCGCACAGTGGAGTTGGAGCACAGCAGAGCGCCATATACAGCGGATTATCCGATGTCGGAACTGTAAAGTAAGTGCCACCACCGTTTCAGTCGTTGTTGCTAAGCTAAGGATAATATCTTGTTGATGAAAGGCAAACATTTCCAAACGCCTTTGCGAAATGATGAAATATTCAACTTTGAACTTCTCTTTAGCAGCTTCACCATTTTCTTAGCACAGCAGTATTGATTGGTTAATAATGGGAAATGCATTACAATATCTAATTTTTTACCCGGCAGACCCACTCCTGAAGTCGTTAACAAGTTCTGGAACGTTGAAGCAATCCCACCAAATCCAACGTAGCTGCGACATCAATTTCGCATCATTAATCCCACCAATGAGGTATCTATATGCTAAATACCTCCAGTTCACTTGCGACCATGATTGTGCATTTGCATAATGCCACGATAATGAATGACTACACTGCAGATAGAAGATCCAAATTCCCACAATATTAGCAACGCCTCCATGTGCTGGTCAATGATGAGGCTCTGCACAGCTGCTCAGATGACGTTCATCATCAATGATTGCTGCTTCTTACACCTCTCAGCAACTACGGCAGCATGTGCATTGCGGCACACATTTCATATGAAAATACCTGATCATGCACTGCCCCATGTCCAGTGTGCTGCGCTGCTTATGATGTGGACAGTAGGAAGCTGTGGCAGCCCTTTGAGAAACACACTTGGCGCCATTTCAGGAAAAGATTCCGAAAAAGCATATTGAAGGACAATTTTGCATACGTATGTAAAAGGGAAAGTGCGATATGTCGCCGCCCTGATATGCAACCAAGGGCGCTTCCCCATAATGGCCAGGTGCCCATGGTTGTTGCAGCTGAAATTCTGTCGCGCCTTGCAGCGCTGAATGCTTTGCAGTATCTTTCGAAAATGTTTCCTACATGCTTGGTATTTATGCCGTAAACACAAATCGTTTTTACGTTTCTGCGCGTAAAATTGCGTAAAATTCCGTAGAATTGCGTAAAATTGCGTAAAATTACGTAAAATTACGTAATACACCCCCGCGTTTGTGAGGACAGTATACACCGGCAGGGGAATGGCAGCCAGACGCCCTGGAAGGAGCAAAAACGAGCTTCTGTTACACACCGTCGTTGCCCCTGCCGAGGGCGAGGTGGATACCGTGTTCCGGGTGCTGGAGATGGCGTAAGGCTGATCATGGTACGCACCTTTCATCGTGTGGCCTGCGTATCCCAGTCAGCCCTAAAGCGTAAAAGTAAACGCAAAAATAGCCGTAAAAATAACCTGTTTTGCAAACTTATGATTCTGCGCATAAAAGCGTAAATGTGAATACCAAGCTTGCTTTCCTTTGTCGGAGAATTAACCTCGAGACTGCACGTTTCAATTGAATTGAACAGCGTTGTGTTTGAACAATGAGTCACTGAAAACAAATACTTCGAAGAGAGAACGTCCAACCAATACTTCGTTTCTCAGTGTCAAATTACCGCAATTTTGCAGGTGATTGGTGGAAAAAATTCTTGAAGCCAAAAGGCTAAGGAAATCAGCCAGATTGCGCAAATGCCAATATTCGCCGTCTCCATCGCCATTATATGCTTCATTCGATCCAGCTGCGCAGCAACCGACAAAGAGAGTAGGTTCTCGCTCGCTCGGCAATGTTCTATTCCAACGCATTTTGGCAAACACTACTGTAGTAAACACTACTTTGATAAATACTGTAGTAAATATTATTTTGATAGATACTACTGTTGTACCTAGCATTCACTGACTTTGCATCCGACATCACAAGGAAAGAAACGAAGGGCCGGGGAGGGAATCGAATAATAACAGGCCGCAGATCTTCAATTATTGTGGTGCAGTCATGCACGCAAAACATCATCAAGACAATATATTACCTGCAGTTCAGCCCAAAAACGACCAATCACAGGATTCGATTGATCCCAATGCATCTGAAGAAACGATATGGGAGATGTCGTACTGAACGGCAGCGCATGGAACACATGCTCATCATAACTAATTTGCGGAAATATTGCACGGATGGCATTAATATGGTATCGGCATGTCAACAATCGATCTGAATACATAAAATTTGTTGCATGCACTATATTCATTAACTGTATTCTCCCAATAGCTTCAACTGTCCGACTGAATTTACGAAATCTACTCAAATAGTGTTTGCCCAATGTACCAATCCTATAGTTATGCACACCGCCCCGATACCTACGTGACAAAGATCACAGAAAATTCCAGGTGGCGACCGACGCGCTTTTGCGCATTGCTTTTTAACAATATCTGTTCAGAATAAAGAAACTATGACTAGTCCCCTTCGTGATAGAGCTTTTGAAGAATTTTAGAAAATTCTTCAGAAATCGACAACC